AGCCAACTTACCGTCATCAACCCGTGCTCTGTTCTCTGATAAAGCACGCTGTTTCAGCCAATCAGAGCGCACGTTATATGGAAACTTTATTATAAATGATGTTAAAAAGAATATTTAATATACTACATGTATAACTTGTTGTTCTTTTGACTGTTATAGTGTACCTTCATCGTCAGTGTGAAATAACATTCCAATTTCTTTCTTTTAGGAATGCACAAAAGTGTTTCAAAAGGAGGAGGTGAAGCCTTGGCAAAGAGCTGTGATGTTCCATTTTTAGGTAAAAATAGTTTCTATCGTAGGTGAATAAACAGGAAGGGGATAGACCGATGAGGGGCAATCTAGATCATGTTTCATGGAAAATGGTCTTTTCACAATGTATTGCACTTGTCTACATATTTAAATTTAGTATCATTGAAGCAGTGAAGTATATTTCTGGAAATGCAATGATCTTGTTTGCTGGAAGCTTAAGGAATGTCAATCAAATTCTTTGTTTTGTCAAGCTTATCAAAGTCAAAGCACAGAACAAACTGTTTGTGATCTAGTCTAGGCTTAGGGGTCATTGCAAATTGCAGAAAATTCCCACTGATGTGACGTGTTCAATTTGACATTGGAATCAGTCAGTTTTCACAGAGGAGAGTCGTCTAGCTATATCTTGCTTTCAGCTCTTGAAAAAATATTTTTTTCCTTCTTTGTAGGTTGTATTCCACTGGATCTCAGTCTAACACAATCCTTAGAAGACGCTCAAGCCTTTCCCAACTCACCATTACACTAAATGCAATAACCGTAATCACTTCCAAACTGTTAGAAATGGAAAGCAATGGAGATCAGTGATTGAAGGAACAAGTACTTTTTTTCAAAAAATGGTTGTTGAGTATGTGGCATTTATACAGTTGGACAAACGTGACTGAGATGGCCAAGTGATCAACCACTGGTTTTCTCCTTACAGTGCCAGTCTCTTATCAATCAAATCAGTGATGAGAATTACAGCAATCATCAATCAAGCCCTGCTCTAGTCTTTAAGGAAGAAAACATAGAAAAATGTGGCTTCACCCCTCTATGGACGTTGTGGGAGCATATACATGTAAACCATGTACAACAGCCTCCTTTACAAAGTTCTACTTGTTAAAGCAAGAAAGTATGATTACTGAACAGCATCTTGATTTGGGAAAAGCTTTGTTTGAATTTTGTGTCGATACATAGTTACATAGTATATGCAACTTCAATACTTGTTTTGTCTGTGACCTCTTCAGTTGGTCGCCAGTAAAGATTTGAATTTGGGATAACTTCATGTAACCATGCATGAAAAATAAAACTTGATACTGAATAATAACAACTGACAATAATATAACCAGATAGAAACAATAATAATAAGACAGAAATAAACCAGTAAATAAATAAATACATAGACTGAAATAAAAAATGAAAATTACTTATAGTTTAACTTGTGGTATCAAGTTTTATTTTTCATGCATGGTTACATGAGGTCACCTTGGATTTGAATCTGTTATGGGGACTAAATTAAGAGGTCATAAATGAAACTAGTTTTGTAGTTGTATTATTGGTGCAACTGTGTGTTGAAATAAGATTTGAATGTAGTTTTTCGCTATCAAGGTGACGTTAAATGATTGTACTTTAATTTTGACAAATGGACTGATGTTGCAGAAATGATGTATATTCAGAGAAACAATTTGAATGAGGTCTTTCCTAATCCAGGTGGTTGCAAATCATAATTTTACATGGCCAGTAATATACCTAAGATTCTTTGTTCAAAAACTCATAAAATGTTGCAGCTGAAAGGTCAATAAAAAATAAAAATGGAAATAAATACAAGTGGTACTGCCTCAGTTATCTGCATGGTATTTTGTGATTGTACGAATTGCATGAATAATCAGTTTGAGTTACTTTTACGTGTGAGAGAAATTAATGTAGGGATGGCAGATTTCCAATTTTGGTTTTAATGTAGTGAGTTAGTGTGCAAGCATGGCAATACAAGAGTTTTTTTTTTTTTGTGAATTAGGGCCTGTTTACAAGGAGAGAGGGTTACCCTAGCAGGCGGGTTACCCTTGCACTCACACATTTCCTATTTTTTTCTTCGTCGGGTTTACAAGGCAGCTAGGGTTACCCAGGTAGGCGGGTTACCCTATCTGCGTGCTAGGGTTACCCTGGCAGGCGGGTTAACTTTCTCCCTGTAAACATTCCAGGTAGGATTAACCCGCCTACCTGTGTTAACTCTCTAATAATGTTTCCAGAAGCTTTGAGTGTAACCACACATCAAGTTGTCCTGGGTTGTAGGGTTACCCTACCTGTGAAAGTTTGCTTGTAAACCCAGGCTATCTTTTGCCCTCCAGCTAGGGTTAACCTGCTTACTAGGGAAACCCTCCCTCCTTGTAAACAGGCCCTTAAAAGCCCTTAGATTTGGTCTGGACTTGCCGCTAGATTGGCTTCTTGTTTGTTTATTCTGACCGTGTGAACAAGAGTCACTGATTCGTCAGTTTTAATCGCAACCAATTCATAACTAGCTGTCCGTAATTTCTTTGGTTTTGACAGAGAAAACCACTTCAAATGAGGATATATCTCAGTATCAATTCCAAGGAATGTCTCATTGAGAAGACAGTGTTACTCTGTGAACAGCGTTACTTAACTGAAACTTGCATTCACAAACTGAAAAATTTTGTGCAAACATAAATGGTTTGGACTCAATTCTTTTTTCGTGAACTGCAGGTCATGCAAATAATATTGATGGGAGCCTGGGGAATACCATCATGGATGAAATCCCAATGTACATTTTGCACTAAGAACAATCATTCCTGTCCTAGAATTGAGAAGTTACTGAGCGGCTAAGACTTGCTTTATTCAAAATTTCCCGGGTCAAAGCCTTGATGACATGTTAGTGTATTCCAAAGACTATGATTCTTCGGCTGATTATCGAATTCTGTCAACTCTTTTGAAACCCATCCACAAAGTCCTGGGCTCAACCATAGTAAATGAAGCATCAGAAATGTCAGAAAAATACTTGCTTCTGTTTGTAGAAAAACAAAGATGGCCGTTGTAAAATCAGGATGAAATCTCCACACACATGATTCACCTTAACAAGTGGCAATTTGATTGGTTGTTTATAGTAGTTCCAGTCTGATTGGTGTGACATACACACATCTCTCACTCATCCATTGATCCACTGACCTGATGATAACATACCCCAGACCCACTGACTAAGGGGTATTTTTTTTTTTTACACAAAAACCCCTCAAAAATGGCACCAAAGAAGATTAACTATGAGCAGGATGCTCCTGCTATGAGCAAAATCAAGTAAACAGTACAGACCTGCCAACTCTCCTGGTTTTCCCAGAGTCTCCAAGTTTTTCATCAAATCTCCCAGTCTCCCGGTTAGAGCATCAAATCTCCTGGGAATTTCCTACTGTGGCTCTTCTTAAATTTTTTCATTAATTTTGTTATTTTCGAGAGACGTCCGGAACATTCAGAAGGCCTTCGGGTGATTTTTGGAGAGTATTCAGACATTGTTGAAAATTATATTCTTACAATGCAAAGATTTCTAGCCGTTTCCAGGTTTTTATACTCTGGGGGTTGGCAGGTGTGATGGTATGTTGTGAACTTGATAGACAGGAGATCTCTAGGGTTGCAATTTTTTTCTCAACACTTGGGATTGTTTTTTTCTATCTAATGAAATATGCATATCCTGCCCTCGATCATGCAATCTGACTGGCTTTTTAATGTTGGCATTAGTTAGTTTATTGGGTGCAGGAAAATGAGATTTTCTCACCCCAAGCCACTCTCAAGCCCATCTATAAACCGAACTGAAACATGAACCCATAAAAAGTAACGTGTTCTTCTATTAAAGTTGAAAAAATTTTCTGGAAGAGTCCCTGTCTTTTTATTGCCACCTGGCATATATATACTTCTTAAAAATTTGTGGAAAGTTTGGGCTTCTGGTTTGGGGTCCTATCAGTTTACATGAGTTTGCAACAGATTCGAATTAACAAATTGACGCCAGTTTTTTATGCGTCTGTCCTCTTATTGATGATAAATTGTATCATAACATTGTCAAAGTGGCTGTGGAACCACAAGCCGCAGACAAGCGGTTCTGCAGTGAACTTTGACAATGTTATGACAAAATTTATCATCAATGATAAGACAGACGCATAAAAAACTGATGTCAATTTGTTTTTCATGATAACAAGACCCAAATAAATGGTCAAATGCTGGGAATAAATAAGGGGACAAGACGCCGTAAACTTGCCGTAAACAAAGATAAAGTGAATTTTATTCAAAATGACGCAAACATTATCAATAGCTTTTCTCACTTTTTGATTGGCTACTTTAAAAAGTCCATAAAATCTCATTGGTTAAAAAGTTGACAATTTGACAGCTGAAAATTATTTTAACTTGAAAGCTGGCATAAATTAAAATTTTATCCTACTGTACTCTTATTGATAATAAAAATGAGCCAAATATTATCAGCGAACGAGAAATTTGGCATGATAAATCAAGCGGTGATGCTCATTTTTTGTTTTTAACAATTCGGAAAGCGTGACATCAGTAAAAGATCCATTTAACGTCTTTCACAAGGGAGGCAATTCTGCGCAAGCATTTTGAACGCAGTTTGCAGTTTTTCTCCACGATAAGAATTGGGAGCTATGGGAGGGTACTGTTAACTACAAGATTTGCCGTGTCAAAAAACCCACATGGGAGAGGGAGGGGAGTGTGAACGTCGTATGGCGCCTGACCAGGCCGCCCTGGGACAACGGTTTATGCATCAGTCAATTCCAGCAGTGCCCATCCCCCCCCCGGGCTAACCCCCGGGCATTAGCATTTTTTTTAAAAAATTGGCAAATTCCCCGGGTTGGGGAAACATAAGCTGTCTAAATGCCCCGGGNGTGGGGACGAAGAAAGAGGGCAAATGCCCCGTCCCCGGGATCGTCGCCTTCCAACACCTCCGCAGTTTTTTAATTGATCAGTGAATAAAACGGTCAACTGTTCAGTATTTTAATGCAACGTAAGACTTCAAGGACAACAGTACGTGTTAGTTGATTCTGATTATATTTAATTCTTTATATTTGTTTTTTAACAGTTTGCTAGAGGATAGCT